AAATGACCCGGGTCAACGCTTTGTTTTCAGAATACACCCTACTGCCTACGTATCTTTGTCGCTTATTCCAATGCACAACCAAATCCGTCTTGCATGATTTTGGCACCACGACCTTCAAAAGGTCGAACAAGGTCGCTGACCTTGAATGAGCACGCGGACATTTTCCCCAGAACAGGTATCTTGGTTCTGCGGCACTTTGAAGACCAACCTGAGTTTGACCTTGTTTAACATTATTTGACCCAAAGTTCTTGACCTAATAGCCTCAAATTTTGACCTTAGTGAGTCACAAGCCAAAAAACTGTGAATTTGGTGTATTTGGCCCTCTTAGTTTCTGGGACCTCAGGGGTTAAGTTGACCCCCCCCCCCGAGCAAAGGGTATCCAACGGCCACCCGGGCGCGTGTTGACGATGCAATACTGATTAGGATGCCGACTTTCAGGGGAATGATGACAGTTTCCCCTGTTACGGAAGACACGGAGCTGCGTATTGTGTTGTCTCATATTTATTTTCTCCGACCTGTGGTGTGTCATGCTCATATCACATGAGAATTCGCATATCGATGGTCGAGTGCCTAGAATTAGCAAGACACGTGCTTGAAGGGCGGTCTCTGCTCCCGGGTGCGGTCGTCCGGCGCCTCGTCCGTGGCCAGGGGGTGTCGGTCGAGAGGAATATGTCGTCACCTTTGCGTGCGAGCATTTTGATTAGATTTGCGACCTGAGGAAATTGCCTGCCGTGGAGCTTGCATGACGCCTGGCCCGTGGTTGGCCGCCCCGCTAACCACCGGTGTGGTCTGACATCGGGACTGCTTGCTGGCTGCTGAAACTAATCTAGCGATGCTCTAATTGACTGCCGCGGACGCCAGCGTCTTTGGCTATCTAGTGTATGATTTTCGCAGCGTCTCCAGATACTCGTCCCGTTGTGCCCCGCGGCAGTGTCACTGCACCGTGCCACCAGCGCTCAGCCGTCCCTGTCCTCAGCCGTCCCTGTCCTCAGCTGTCCCTGTCCTCAGCTGTCCTAGATCTGGCCACTCCCCCTCCGATGTGTCACTGCACCCTGCCACCACCGCTCAGCCGTCCCTGTCCTCAGCTGTCCCTGTCCTCAGCTGTCCTAGATCTGGCCACTCCCCCTCCGATGTGTCACTGCCCCTGCCACCAGCGCTCAGCCGTCCCTGTCCTCAGCTGTCCCTCCTCAGCTGTCCTAGATCTGGCCACTCCCCTCCGATGTGTCAATGCACCCTGCCACCAACGCTCAGCCGTCCTGTCCTCAGCTGTCCCTGTCCCTCAGCTGTCCTAGATCTGGCCACTCCCCCTCCGATGTGTCACTGCACCCTGCCACCAGCGCTCAGCCGTCCCGTCCTCAGCTGTCCTAGATCTGGCCGCTCCCCCTCCGATGTGTCACTGCAACCCTGCCACCAGCGCTCAGCCGTCCCTGTCCTCAGCTGTCCTAGATCTGGCCACTCCCTCTCCGAGTGTCACTGCACCTGCCACCAGCGCGCTCAGCCGTCCCTGTCCTCAGCTGTCCTAGATTGGCCACTCCCTCTCGATGTGTCACTGCACCCTGCCACCAGCGCTCAGCCGTCCTTCCTCCTCAGCTGTCCCTGTCCTCAGCTGTCCTAGATCTGGCCACTCCCTCTCGATGTGTCACTGCACCCTGCCACCAGCGCTCAGCCGTCCCTGTCCTCAGCTGTCCCTGTCCTCAGCTGTCCTAGATCTGGCCACTCCCCCCTCCGATGTGTCAATGCACCCTGCCACCAACGCTCAGCCGTCCCTGTCCTCAGCTGTCCCTGTCCTCAGCTGTCCTAGATCTGGCCACTCCCCCTCCGATGTGTCACTACTGCAACCCTGCCACCAGCGCTCAAGCCGTCCCTGTCCTCAGCTGTCCCTGTCCTCACTGTCCTAGATCTGGCCACTCCCCCTCCGATGTGTCACTGCACCCTGCCACCAGCGCTCAGCCGTCCCTGTCCTCAGCTGTCCCTGTCCTCAGCTGTCCTAGATCTGGCCACTCCCCCTCCGATGTGTCACGCACCCTGCCACCAGCGCTCAGCCGTCCCTGTCCTCAGCCGTCCCTGTCCTCAGCTGTCCTAGATCTGGCCACTCCCCCTCCGATGTGTCACTGCACCCTGCCACCAGCGCTCAGCCGTCCCTGTCCTCAGCTGTCCTAGATCTGGCCGCTCCCCCTCCGATGTGTCACTGCACCCTGCCACCAGCGCTCAGCCGTCCCGTCCTCAGCTGTCCTAGATCTGGCCACTCCCTCTCCGATGTGTCACTGCACCCTGCCACCAGCGCTCAGCCGTCCCTGTCCTCAGCTGTCCTAGATCTGGCCACTCCCTCTCCGATGTGTCACTGCACCCTGCCACCAGCGCTCAGCCGTCCCTGTCCTCAGCTGTCCCTGTCCTCAGCTGTCCTAGATCTGGCCACTCCCTCCGATGTGTCACTGCACCCTCCGCCCAGCGCTCAGCCGTCCCTGTCCTCAGCTGTCCCTGTCCTCAGCTGTCCCAGATCTGGCCACTCCCCCTCCGATGTGTCACTGCACACCCTGCCACCAGCGCTCAGGCCGTCCCTGTCCTCAGCTGTCCCTGTCCTCAGCTGTCCCAGATCTGGCCACTCCCCCTCCGATGTGTCACTGCCACCCCTGCCACCAGCGCTCAGCCGTCCCTGTCCTCAGCTTCCCTGTCCTCAGCTGTCCTAGATCTGGCCACTCCCCCTCCGATGTGTCACTGCACCCGCACCAGCGCTCAGCCGTCCTGTC